CCTAAAATATCCTTGGATCACCTAAGTATTTTGGCACCCCAAAGGGAGGTCCCAGATCTTTTTGGCTTCCTCTCCCCAAGACATGATACATCAGCCTCGATGATAATACCTTGGTTGAATTTCGGTATTATCCGTAGAGATATATCATTTCGGCACCGAGATAGAGGCGGTCGCCATCTCAACGAATTGGTGAACTGAGAGTCTTGCTTTGATTGATACATCTTCTCGGCAATGTACAAGCTGTACAATGCCCTCCCCCCCCTTCCCCCCCCAATTACACTTCGTGATGAAGCTTTCAGGGTTTACACACTTTCTTGTCCTTAGAGTTCATATATAGAGACGAAAACTGTAATTTAGGGCTCACCACAATAAATACCATGTAAATTCTTGTAAGCTTCAGGACCCTTTGTCCCAAGTTCATCAACCCGGATCCCTCCTCGAAGCAATCTATCCATCATGTCCACAAACTCCAGCAGCCATAGTCTTCTGGGACTTCCAGTTGACGTTCTCATGTGCATCCTCGATCACGCAGAACTTTGCGACTTGTACTGGCTCTCACAGACCTGCAAGTCCATGCACCGCCTGGCAAAGAGGGACTTCCGCACCATAGTCAACAACGCCAACGCTGAAGACAAGGCCAAGTTCTTGCTTGGTCTCGCATACGTATTGCCGGACCACTTCTTCTGTCGGAATTCCTGTATGCTTCACACTGTCGACAGCCGTTCTCCCTTAAGAATGTCTTGTCACTGCCAGGACTACTCGGTCAACCATAGGCGCATTTGTGAGGCCAATTTTGAGTTACGACACCAGGACGTTCAAATGGCCCTGAAATACAACCGCCTTGGGGGATCTTATAGAGATGCACTTGCACCTCTCATGCGAACTCATTACGAAACACTTTATAGACGCTCTTTGGGACCGATTATACACTCCTCTGCCACGCCCGAGATCAAGAATGGCCATTTTCTCCTACATGAAAAATGGAAACTCCAGGCTAGCCTCACTCAATCTCTCAACCTCAACCGGGTCCGCTCGAATGTTTACATCCCTATCTGCAGCCACATCCTCATTTTGGGACGCAGGCCGAGTGTTGATCCCACTGCGAAGATCTCGGGTACAGTATGGGGTTTGGCACGCCTTGCACCGCCGCCTGGAAACCTGGAAGTGGGAAGAATTTACGCACCTCGTGGTTCTTGCCAAACATGCTCGACGAGTTACGACTTCAGTGTCTCTGAGGCAAACGGGGTTGTTTTAAACACAACGCACGACTACGGTTCATTCAATTCACTGGATGAGTGGAAGAGACGCAGTCTGGAAACCCCCGTTATTTGGGCAACAACCACTTTGGACTTTGCTTTCGCTGAGAACGATACGGGAGAGTTTGAGGAGGTGGTTTTGGAAGATCGACCGATGCTTTGGTTTTGAAATATTGGTTGGCACATTTCGGAACAAATGTGTTGTTGATGTATCACCTCTACAAGACGGGGAAATTTGTGGCCCCTATTCTAAGAGATGAAATGAATTAGGCAAGTTTCGTACATCTTTGCAGGCCATGAAACCAGTCAACTTTTGCACGCTGTCTAAGTATCATCAACTTCTTGCTCCCGGGGGCCTGTCTATCTCGGTGCCAGGAAATGATATATCTGTTCAGATTGTATAACTATAGCTTGAAATCGCTGTTTGTCTTTTCCCAGCCTGCAGTCGAAGCTTCCAGGCCAGCGACCCTCTCCGTAAGCTTCAGCTTCAGGTTCTTATGCCTCTCTGTACACAGCTCGTACATAGTCGATAGGTTGAATAACAGCGTATGAGATGATAAGCCAGATTCTACGAGGCCCTCCAATATTGCGCGTCCCTGAGAAACTTTAGTACACCGGCCATCGCATGTATCACAGATGAACATACCTCCTGCATCCGCCCAAGATACAACAAACACACCGCTGTGTTAACGCCCACCATCTCGTCGTCTAGGCTTTCTTTCAGTTCCTTCCACGCTTCAAGGGCTGTCTCGTACTCTGCGTCGGCCATGTCACAGAGTGCGAGGATCAGCTTCTCGACGTTTTCGTCGTTCTCCATGGCTTGACGAGCGCAGGACCTTGCACTTTCTACGTCTCCTAGATGAAGCCACAGAAGTGCTTTGGTGAGCGCCATTTTGCCATCACCTCGGTCCCGTAGGGTGCTGAGGTGATGCGCTGCACCTGTCAGGTCCTCGAGCTCAATCAGAGCTCCAGCAACCTGGATGCCAAGATCGTAAAGACGAGCTTTCCAAAGTTCCCTTGCGGAGTTGTCGTGCTGGGATGCTGCCTTGCTGATACGATCACGAGCTTCGCGAGCCAGGTCGTGGTAACTCATGACGGCTCGGCGATAATCGCCGAAGCCAAGCGACTGAAGACGTACATTGAGAACTCTTAGCTCCCAAGGTACTAGGTGCTCTCCGGTGGTTTCGTCTACATACCTCCTGATGTCGTTGAGATCTTCCAAGGCTTTGACCTCCTGAGCAGCCAAGGGAGTCGCATCAATCAGGGTAAGACATGCCAGTCGAGTGTAAAGAAGCTCAAATATCCTCTTGGAATCCGTGGGGTTTATCCCTCCGCTAGCTCCAGAGCCTGTTAGCTCTTGAACAGCAGCTATAGCCGCCGCTCTGAAGTGACCGCTGGCAAGGAGCTCCTCAATGGGAGCCTCAGGATCGGGCTGCTTCTGTGGGTTACGAAATGCGACAGGGACGTTGAGAGGCGTGAGAGGGTGATAGATCTCTGGCCTCAGAAGAAATGAAAAGTATTTGGGCCTAGCCTCTCCCAGTTGCGAGACTGGAGTCGCTGTAGATGAGCGCGGATGTGGCGATGATATCCTATTGCGATGCGTAATCACTCGCTGAGGGGTCGTCGCTTGCTGAGGTGACAACAACGGGTCACTGTGAGTTAGTCGTCAACCTCGGGCCGTGATCTAATCGATAACGTTTTACTCACCCATCGAGATCGAGAGGTCCTTTCGTAGAGGATCTCGGTCGGGCTGGGACAGAGTTAGCCGTGTCGCACCGGTATCGCTCATGTTAACGATGCTCATTTGGAGACATGAGAGGCCCCGCTGATGTAGCGTCAACGTCGCACACGGGAATCATTCTGAGGCGTACTCTTGGTGATGGACTTATTTCTGGAGTGCCCTTGACTCCCTGTTCTTTGCGGTTCACTCATGGCCTCGTATTTGACGACTTATCTATGCCCTTTGATGAAGGGAAGCCTGTGATCTTGCTGTATCATGGTGTGTTCGGATAATCACCGGGAAACACATTCCAACGACAACAGTTCACGACTTCACCTTGTCAAGTCGTGAGAACTCAAATGCAACCAATTCGAAAGTTCGAAAGCGAAAAACTGCACATTTGCTAGGCCTGCCTTATCCAAACTGTTTAGCTGTAGCAAACCACACTTGCGTTAGAGTTTAGCAATCGCCAGCAAAACTACCTACCTATCTACCGTGTCTACAGAGAGGAGGAAAGAAAAATCGGGACTTTGATCTTCAATGACAAAAAGACCCGGGTAATTGCTTATGATACCCTTTTCTGAGTTTATTTTGTTGCCCTATACTGGGATCTAATGCTATCTTGCTCTCCGAGGCGTATCCCTTCGCAAACCTCCCAAGCTCTGATCATTTGCCCACGGCGGGCCTCCCAAGCAATCTATTCCACAATGCTGCAATCACACGCGCTCTGATAAGCTATGCTGTTGTCGAAAAATACAAAGAATGGAGTCTTCTAGAATCAATGGAATTTGCGATTCTTACACCCCTTGACACGCGAAGTAAACCCAACTTTGGCCAGGCTGAAACAGTACAAACAGAGACCCTTTGCTTTGACTTGGTTCAAGAGCTTTTGAACACGTTGTTCTTCGATTGCCACTGACAAAAGTTAGTTTTGGGTTGACACAAACGACACTAGACCCATCCAGATAACTGATGTCGGAAGAAGGGAAGTTTGACAATGGGTGGGAAGCTTACAGCAAAGTCGAAGCCCAAGCTCCTTGTCGGGCGTGCCCGCGACGTAGCTCAAGTGAGAGGGCTGCAGCTGCTTGACGAGTTTCCTGCTAAAGGTAAAGAAAGCATCGGGGTTTTGCATCCAGTAGGCGGCAGTTGTGAGTTGCCACGTCTCCTCGGGGTCATCTGCCCAAGCATACTTCGCAAACCAATACACTGAGGCAAAGGTAAATCGCGATACCAAATCGTATTTATCAGCAAGGATCGAGATCTTCTGAATATCCTCGGGATCACAGTCTTGCGTCGAAGGGTTGGACCCGTAGAGCGCGAGGATCGTGTTGTCGAAAGCGAGAGGGTCGTCGTCGGGGAGCTCGAGAACCATTTCTGGATCTCCGGGCTGGCGATTGCGCAAGCGTTCGCCCTCTTCGAAGTTTGGCCCAAACATGACCGAAAATACAGGCGATATCTCGCACAGGAAGGTTGACGCAACTCTAAGGAGAGTTCGGTGGGGACCAACGGCGAGGATTAAGTCGCCGCCTGGGATCAAGTCCCGGACAAATCTGGACTGGGCCACAGTTTCGCCGGTCTCTTCTGGGCTCGACATGACTGATTGGTCTGGAGTAAGATCCATTTCAGACCAAGCGTAGCGGGCACCTTGCAAGTACGAAGAAAAGGGGGTGGGTGTGTTGCTTGGTGCAGCAAAAGGTTCAATGGGGCTCATGTCTTTGGAGTCTGGAAGAGGAGAAGGCTGCTTGCCAAAGTGGTAGCCCAATTTCTAGCCATGCCAAGGACACGGTCTTATAATTGGGTGGACTCCCTGGAGGGGAGTGATTCATGATCATCGCCCGACCACATCGTCGTAGCATCACTTGCTTACCTGCTCTGTGCTTCAGCCTCGACAAGACAAGAACCGTGAAAATGTGCAACAATCGACATGCGCATCTCAAAAAACTCAAACATGTCAAAGTTCAGACCCACGTCAATTTTAGTTGACACAATCTTATTTCCCCAGATTTCGAAAGTCTATCTGGCATATGTCCGCCTTCCCGGAAGTCTCGTCTTAACTTGATGGTGATAAGGTACCGCGCGACCAACCATTGACTCTGATAGGCCTCTCTCGTTCGCCGTGACTATCTGTATATCGGAGCAGCGAATGAGTGGCATTTCTTTTGATAATTCATCTTCGTGATTCTGTGTCTGCGCTTTCTCATTGCGTGGCTTCTGAGTGACATACATGTATCAGGCTGAGAATGTCTTCATGGCCCTTGTCAAAGACGGGGAAACACTTGTCTATCGGCACCGGCAATCAACAGTTCAAATTCTTCTCCTTGCGACTTTTCTCTCTTCAACTTTGTTGATCCTCAAGTTCTGCGTAGATTTCTTTGGCAGTTTATACTGCCTGTTCGTGTCTCCCACGGGCGTTCGAAGTCCCGGATCATCAGCCAGTGTTCTCGCCACCGCTCCTCCCATATACACGATGTCTTCGTCGTTCTTGCTTTTCTCGGTCAAACTTTTGCTCTTTAACCTTCCTGATGAGAAAGTTCTGCGTAGAACTAACTCTCTTGGTGGTTTATACTGCCTGTACGTGTGCTCTCAAACTTTCTCCTGCCTCGTCCAATCGCTGATTCTTCTCTCTAACAACCATTAGTCTTCTTGAAGCGATACTTTCTGTTATCTGACACTTTATTTAAGTCATTTCATCTGCCTGTGCATTATAGGGCACCCCGTCTTTTCCTCTTTCATCATCCCACGAGCCCTGCCGATACCCAGTCACACATACAACTCACCCATACAACTCCCGATATCTCTAAACCACCACTACGCCGATCCCAAATCCCAATCCCGAATCCTCTACCACACGGCCAGACTCAAACCAGAGCATGCCAGACCAAGAGGGTACAAGCTTGGTTGAGAGTAGGGAACCTCTTGCTGACTCCTTTCGTTTTACTGACCATACTTTAGGGACCCCAGAACTCGAGACAGACATAGTAAGCGGCGGTGATCTTGTACTTATCGTCGGGGCGGACAGAATTCGGATCAGAATTACAGAGCAAGCTGCCCGCGTGTGTTCAGATATTCTTGCTGACATGCTTGATCAACAAAATATCACTGACGCTGGCAATATGGGTCGGGTTCGCCAGCTGGAGCTTCCAAACGACAATCCTACCACGGTGCGGAACGCATTTGGCAGCATCTATCCTGGCAATCCCCATACGGACGATCTGTTACCAGCAGAGATCTACGATGTGGTCGTCTTTGCGAGGAAGTATGAGATGATTCCCGAATTCAAGAAGCTTGCTCCAAACTGGTTCCGCACAAGATCTTGCGGCCACTACTTTTATCCTGTACATATGTTCTTTGGTCGGGAAGAATGTTGGTACCTGATGATGGCAGCGCATTACATGCGCCTCGATGATGATGATGATGCCCCCGCTTATCTCCATCTTGCATTCTCCGAACTGAGCGAGCGACTGGTGAGGGATGAAAACCCATATCACAACGCCCGCTTGGTAGAATCGGGGCCAGATGCTCACGAGATTGAAGTCAATATCTACCGTAAGACATTCTCCCTCCTTCATAGTGCACAACTGACTTGGATTGATGCCAGGCTCGATTCGTGAGGCCAGGCGGAATTATGCAACGGAAGTGGAACAGCATCGTCAATTTCGCTGCATGGGAGGCGCTGGATCATGCATCGAACAAATATTTACATGGCGCTATGGAAGGTTTTACTTGTGTCGGCTCTTGACATAAAGAACATGAACAAATTTTTTAGCGGGTTTCAAGAGGGCTTGAAGTCGATGGGTAGCAAAATCTTCACTGAATATACCAAGAGTTGGAGGAAAGTTCAAAATGGATCAAATTTATTTCATTGTTCTTCCTCATCTCAATAAGCAAAATGGTCTTTCTTTAGGCTAAACTTTTCTAAGACATGAACATATTATGACATCAATACAAAATTGCGGCCTTTCTTTAGACTACGTTTTTCTAAACACATAAAATACTGTTGGTTAGTTTTATTGTCTTCAAAAGGGGAACCGATATGTTTGAACCTAGACCCTCTCAATAAAATGGGCTGGTTTGACGCGATTTGTTTTGTACCAGTTTGATCCGAGCTCCCTAACTGTGATGGCTATCATTCAGCTGTGGTGTTCCGTCCCACCACACATCGTTTACCGTGGTCTTCCTAAAGACTGCTTCACTCATCTTAGTTTGCTCTCATGCCAGCCGATGCGTTGAAAAGTGACGAACAGCGAATGGGCACCCTGCACGCTGCTTGGTGAAAGATTCGGTTGCGTGAGAAAAGCAGTACAAGCACAAGCCCACCTCAGTTCCGTATCCATTGCCCGACATCCCTAAGTAGGTGCTGCGCAGTTCTTCAATAGCCACTGAGATTAGTATTATCAGTATCTGATCTGATCATGTACGTGATGTTCCGGTAACTTACTTCCGAGGCGGAGACCAACATGCTTGTCATGAAAGCTGCCTATGAACTTTAGGACGCTTGTCTTCGTTCGAAGCATGGTCTTAGTCACTTCGAAGAAAGCCCAATCGATCTTCAGGATGTAAGCCACGATCAAGGTGTTCCAAACCCATTCATGAATTTCTGAAAAGCGTTTGACGGCGCGCTCTCGAAGCCAGAAAGGTGCGAAGATTGCGAGACGGTCTGCCATCCCGTACTTGTCTGCAATAATTGCGATCTCTTTGACTTCAGTCATCGAGAATCGTCTGGCGCTTGGATCTGAACCATAGAGCATTTGTAGTACATGCACCATCGGCTGTTCTTTATCTTCAGGGAGGACGATCTCGACAGGGCCATCATCACATTTGTTGGCAAGCGCTTCTCCTTCCTTCATTGGTGCATCAAGCATAGCTCGGAAAACGGGTGAGATATGCTTGAGGAAATGCGAGGAGATCTGAATCTTTTGCTGGCTCGGGCCAACCACCAGCATGACATCGCCGTCGGGAATGATTTGGGTAACAGAATCTAACATAACATCCTCGGCGGAAACGATTTGGGTACTAGAGTCTGCTACTTAAAAAGTTAGTAATTGTCAAAGCTCGATGATAGTGCCACTGTAACATACCAGATGTATCAGCTTTGTCGGCGTTGAGAACGGCGCGCGAAGTATCCATCTTCGCGAATGTGGGTGTTGAGGACGATGAGTGAAGATGAAGAGCACAGAGAGATGTCGTTTGTGAAAATATTCTGACTCTCCAGGCTCACAACACTTGCTCAAAGCATAAGAAGAAGTCGGTTCAGTCTAGAAGCGCCTGACAGGTGTGAGCAGCTGGCAGTGAATCACTGCCTCACCCCCCTGAATTGACTAGCCCTTCGACCTCAAAGGTTTTGCCAACAGGATGTTGAATTGTAACATAGAATGACAATCTCTAAATTTACCTAAACAATCATAAATATGAACAGAATTTAGGCTCTGGTTTGTCAATACCCAACATGATTTACGACAAATTTGGTATAAAACAGCTTTGCGTTGCTTGCTCTAGAGCTTATATATCAGCTTTGCGTGAGATCAACACCAAACAACCGTGCTTAATCATGCAGGCCTGTTTATGGACAGTCCAACCATCAATCAGTTTGGTACTGCGACAAGAAAGAATAATTTTATCACAAAAGGATGCACAAACAAGGAGGTCAATAAGACAAGCAAAACTTGCAGCGGCCGTCTATAAATACAAGCCAGCGCCTCGCTCAGCATTTTGGATGGCCCCCTCTCCTTATTTCCAGACCGGCAAGGCATCTTGGCAAGTTTCTCTTACTTACATATTCTATCCAAGTCTTACAAAATATGTTCCACTTTGCCGTTGCAAGGTATCAGAGATGTGACACTCCTGCTCAAGGCACAGACAGTAAGAGACCTCGATGTGGCCTCGCCTTGGGATACAAACCCTCATAATGCATGATACGTTGGCCGCCGGTATACTATAGAGGTCACTTTACGTTTTAAGCTGGCAGATGTAAAGCATTGGCAAATTTGGGTTGGCGTTCATCACATATTCTAAGCCATGGAAACTTCTACTTCGTCATTCTTCACAACACCAAGACGAGTGGTATGAGCCTTGTTTCTCCATATCTGACGGAGCTGATCTTTTTCAGACATTACACTCATATCAAACGAGGTGCTTCTTCTCATTGATGGTGAAGCTCGCACAAGGGTTCATGTTAACCCAAGAATTCCTTTGTCCGATGTCTCGGTGCTCCCGTCTCTGCGATGTCGACCACCAACTCCCCAGAAGTCACACGACACCGCTCTCCTTCAAGCCTCACCAATGTTCTGAACAGGTCATCCGCTCTCGTCACTAGATGAGCATCTCGGGATTACAATTTCTTATCCCCCTATTGTTCGTAACCCAACAGACAGCATGACCCCCACAGAACTCCCTTGGAGTGTCCTCAAAGCCTCAGAGGAAGCTGAAGTTGCACCTGAGGCAGAGAGCAACAGAGCACAATCCTCTGGTTAAGTCTCTGTATACCAGACATTCTAGGAGTTATAGTTACAGAGACGCCGAACCAATCATTTCCAGTATCTTATATCGTACTGAGGATGGAGACTTGAAGTTTCCCTGGGCGTCAAGAGCATTTAGGCTGGTCCAGTGCAGCCAAGTCATTTAATATTTTGTTTCCTACTACCACCCTGCCATCGGCCCTACCTCTGGTTACCGCAAGCTTGAGCACTATCGTTTATATCTGCTTTATTGTCCCCTTATTATATACCATGTTCAGACATGTATCAGTTACTGGCAGCTCAGGGTCAGTGGTGGTTCATGAAAATGGAATATTCGTGAGTTGCCTTCTCAGCCCTGTATCATCGCCTTTTTCTCTTTCCCTCCTCAACCATCAGAGAATGTCGGAAGAGTTCAGTATGTGTCAGTATCCTCCGGTACTCTAGATCTGCGCTAACACACTTGGTTACAGACGAAGCCGTCGTTGCCGGCGGCGAATATAATTCTCGTCGCCGGTAAAGACCAGCGACGAGTCCAGGTCTCTGCAGGTTTTTTAATGCAGGTTTCCCCAGTTGACAGTTTCTATATTCCCCATTATTCGTAAACTAAGTTTTCGTATTGCTATAACAATGAGAGGCAGTGGAGGCACGCACACAATGAAACAATCATTCCTGATGCCTCATATTGTGCCCAGCATGGACAGACTGGCGACGGCAAATAGGTCAACTTGGCCTTGCCGTCAACAACACTCGGGAGACGCTTTTGCGGTATAATCAATTCCTCTCTCTGATGTGTTCACACATCTTCCCTTTTGTTCCACTTATAATATACTATGTTCGGTGGCAGGTGTCAGTCACTGGCAGCTAACACTCAGTGATTGTTCATGAAACCAGAAGAACCGAGCCCGCAAATTATTGACTTGGTCGACTTCTTAGTCCCGGATCATCTCTTCTTCTCTTTTTCTCAAGTGGCTATCTAACGCAACAATGTCGTCAGATTCAGGTATGTAATGGTATCATCTATTATTTCGGCTCCGCTCTAACATTTAGCAGAGCCAAATACTCCTTTACAGGTACTCACTCCCAACGGAGATGTGGTTCTTGTCGTCGGCCACGAACAGGCGCGCATTCAAATTGCTTCCGAGTTCCTAACCCTCGCCTCTCCGGTGTTCGACGCCATGTTGAACCTCAAGTTCTCAGAGGGCATCAAGCTCCATGAGGGGAACAAGTCACCAGTCGACATCAAACTGCCAGAGGATGATGGGCTGGCAACTGCCCAGGCCTTGAAAACTTTATATGGATCATACCCAGAAATGCTACTTCTCACACCTGACCAAATCCAGAAAGTCTCCATTGTAGTAGACAAGTACGATATGTCAGCACGTTTTGCCATGGCCGGTACAGTCTGGATGGACTGCGACCCTATCAATCTCGAGGACGCCTGGAAGCTTATGACAGCTTCTTACTGGCTTGATCATCAGGTTGGGTTCCGTCGGATGAGCGAGTATGTCATCCGTAAACTCAACCACGCGCAAATCTTCCCTCTCGCCAACGAGACATTCGACGTCGCTCTGGGTCTGAAGCTAGGCAGTGAGTTTTCATCATGATAAGTCTCCGATATGGTTGGGATATAATGCTAACCTTCTTTCAACAGTGGCCCTCCTTCTGTTGCACCATGCACTCTCACAGGTCATGGTGCACCCGAAGGGAGGTCTATGCCTACCATGCTTCAAGATTGCGGTAGAAGATCCTGTGGGAATGCAGCCAGGATGTCCCTGTTCAAGCAGTCACCGCTCTGGCTGATCTGATCAAGCCGAGTACTGGTGGAGAGGGGACTCGACAACACCAAAGAAAGCGATCATGGCTTCACGTTAAGGATCAGATCAGGCCAGCACTGTTGGAGAGAGAGGGGCTCAACGACACCAAAAAAAGTGATCATGGTTTCGCGTTTAGGATCAGATCTTTGATAACAGCGGGCGAATAAGTATTCTAGTGGTAGGTGTATATTCCAACCTCCATGTTGCTTATTCTGTCACTCCTCTAGCCCTGCTGCTGAACACATGTGATTCAACGTTTTGTACTTCCATGCATATTGAATTCCTGTTGTACTGCAACATTTGAAGCTTATTTTCCATTTTATTGTGTTTATAAACCTCAATCGTTTGATATGTATCAAATGCCTTCGGCCATGTTACCCTCTTCCATCTTCAAACTTTTGACATCAGCTCTCTACCTTTCTGGCTTCATCCGAGGAGGCATTACTACTCGGGCACTTCATACATTTAATAATATTTCTCATTCAATATCACTATATGTTATCTCTGTCAATGGTACTCAGATTGGTGGGTTTTTATGACAGAATGGCGGAGTCTGTACGGGAGCTGCCACTGTTGGTGTTGTTCACTTGGTTCACAACAAGGTTGCTGCTCTCATTTGCCGAGACACAGAAGCCGGTTTTGGGAGCCTACTTTGCTTTCCTTGGTTCTATATACAAATTTAACTCGTAGTATTCTCAGTATGTTCTACAGGGGTGAATCCGGCTTACAAGGCATCCATCACATAGAAATCGGTGGCAGAGTCACTGCTTTACAATACAGCCAAGTATCATTCAACTAAAGTCTTATTTATATCTCTATATCCTCGTTTTTCTGCATTCCTGAAATCTTTTTCGGTTATCTAATCCTCAGATCGTCGAAATCGTAACAATAAGCTCTCTCTCTCCAATTTTGGTCAAAGAGGTTATACCCTGATCGACTCTACCCATTGAAAGATCATGGCTATCTTTCGCAATTGAGCCTTAATAATGAATTTCCATTTTCTTTGAAGTTCGCCTTCTATAGGGAATATCCCTCCTTCCACCCACGTATCTCATTTGACAGTGCAAATGACGAAGTAGTCTCCTTGCTGTCTGTATAGCCATGTTTGGGTAACATTTTATAGCGACTGAAAATGCCCCCTTTCTGAAGTTCATCTCATAGCGAGTTTTGATGTTCACCGCAATAAACCAGTGAGCCGATAAATAGATTTTGAACGCCGTCCAACTTTTCAAGAGTGTATCTCGTGGGCCGAGGCCATCTTTGGTATGCATCACTATCGATTGGGGATGATGGAGAAGATGCATGCTGCCCCGAATATACCAACCTGTCCTGATGGAAAACTGACTGTTCTGGAAGGATTCCCTTTCCATTCGAAACAGGTAGGCGGACTGATGGTCTGGCTGGGTGATTGTCGCCGCTGAGTACCCTAACCAGATGGCCACCACCGGGCAGAACTCGCCATCATATCATACTTGTCTGCCAGGACAGACAGGACTGCGATTGCCCGACGCTCTGCAGCGACATACTCGGGGTCTGACCCATAGAGCGCCCGGAGCGCAATGATCATTGCGCTGGGCTGCTCCGCCGGAAGCTCGATGGCGCCATTATGCAGGTTACCCTTTCCTCTCCGTCGATGTAGCTGACATGAGCCAGACTCCCGTCCAGCCGGCACTGCGCAGATTGACACAAACCGCCTCACCCTCGAGCATCGGTAGGGTCAGCATCCGTTCAAAAACGGGTGAGATATGCTTCAGAAATGAAGCAGTGATCACAACCGCCGTTCTGGACTTACCCAGTACAAGGACGACATCCCCGTCAGGGATGATGGTGATACGTTCTTCTCATAAAACGGTTAGTCTTCTTCCTTCAGCTTGGCCTTCGGTTCACATACCGGTTCGCTCATTTTCATCCATTCTTGAGGAGTACCAGGTGGTTATATCATCGCGGACAAAAGAAATTGCTGTCCAGCCCGGTCTGAAAACTGTCCAGGCTCCTTCAATGTCTATATAGGGGGTGTCTTTGGCGCGTTGTATGTCTTGCAAGTTCATCAGTAAAATTCCTGATCGGGTCTTCCCTGACTCTACTCCTGAGGCTTCGTGTCTTGTGATATAGATATCGTCTGCGCGTGTACGTCGCGGAATCTCTTGCAGCGCTTCGCCTTCAACCTTGGCTTGCGGAACGTTTGTATTACCGCGGCGCGAGTGTTCCTTGTTGGTTGTGGCCCACTTCTGAACAACTTCCGCAGATCTTCTCTTTTAGCCACTGCTCGATCATTCATCATAGGCGTGAGGTATTGTTGCTGTGTTTTTATGTTCTTCAATGCGAGTTTGCGGTGTCGGGACAGTTGCGATCACCTCACATATTCTATATGAGCATGGGGAGCCGAGGGGAATGTTACACCCTTTATCGTGTCCTGCAAACACATCCCAAATGCATAAATGTTCTGTATCTTGCAAGGCTTGCAACACCACCAGCAAGTTGACTAGAAATACGGTTGTTCGCTTATGTAGTTGTTGTTCATTTGCTGAGACCTTTTTCTCAGGGGTGGCAGGGAAGTGTACGTATGGCACCCCAGGCCGATTCAGGTATCTGGGCCTTTGGGTGTTCCTATCACATCAAGCAGCTTCTATCAACTCAAAGCGTGTTCTCCACGTAGATCACCGTGTTTTGTTGGACATATACCGTTGGAGGCTGGATGTCGGGGAGTTTGCTATTATGATACCGCGGCGAAATGATCTCTTTGTGATCTTAATGATTATTTTATGGTTCAAGATTTGGGGCTTGGTTTCCGCATTTAGCTTAACCTTCTGCTATAAAAACGATAATAATTTTATCAAGTACTCTGTTCAGGATCACAGCACCAGGTGCCGGCGGACACGTCGGCATCCAGGTTGTTGAGCCACAAATGTCGTAGTGGCAGCAGCGAAACAATCAAGGCAAAGCCCAATTGTTTCATTGCGGTAGGCATTTGCCAACCTGAGTTCTTCAATTGCTACTATCAACTTGTATTAGCGATCAAGAATGGACATGTCTAAATGGAGACTTACAAGCCAGACGAAGGCCAAGGGGTTCATCTCCAAGTTCCAGGGCAAACTCCAGCAAGGGGATGTCAGTACGAACAAAGAACTGGCTCATGATGAAGAAACCTTCGCCGTGGTCGAACCAGTACGACGCGACAAGCAGATCGAACCCTGCTTGGAGATGGGGTCTGTCGACTGAGCCCGGTGCTGTCTCCAGCCAGAGGGAGCAGATGGGTTTGAAGCGCTGCACCATGTCTGCTTTATCTGCAAAGATAGATACATCTCGGATGATTCGCGGGGGCAGCTTAAAGGATCCAGGGTCTGATCCGTACAAAATCTTCAGTGCATGGTAGATAGCTTCGGGGTTGTCATCTGTCAACTCAATGCGAGCTTGCTGTCCGTCAACTCGGTTGGTGATTGAGTTGCCTTCTTTCATTCCGCCAGAAAACATTTTCTCAAACATGGCAGATACGTGGCTCAGAAAGCTTGCAGAGGCGAGAATTTGAACCTTTTTGGCGCCGACAACGAGCATGACATCGCCACCAGGAACCACTGTCCACGGTCCTAGGTCTTCTGCGAAATATCAGTACTCGAACTACTTGTTTTTTTATCGTTATTTCTACTTACCGATTGCTTCAGCCTCCTGGGTGGCAACTTGATTGGCAGTTGTAGCCATTGTTGACCCGAGGTGATCCAATGGATCGTTACGAAGTGCTAGGTTTTCAACAGCTGACTCGAGGTTTGAGGTTTCTCTACCTTAAGCCTGGAGATGGGATGAGAAGATGACGATGAAAAGACGAAAAGAAAATTAAGGAAGATGCAAATTTTATTTTGCCATAAGGTACCAAGTGGTGGGCCCCTTATTCATCGTTCTATCTGCCAGTTGGTGCCAGCTGCCAGAACTTTTAGCCATATAATATTTACTTGAAGTATTGTCTTGTCTATTATTAAATCTGCTGAACTTTGAGGGGAATATTCTGGTATTTATACTTTTTGAGACAATGTGGTCAAGCATTGTTGCTTCTGTTTCGTTGTGATTGTCATTATTTGAGGCATCCGTGAACTTCAGGATTGTCCATCATGACTCTAGACAATTGTTCTCACCCAACTTCACTTGTCATAGCCACTAATTGTTCAAACTTCTTGGGCAAACGGGTGTCAAGCTACTTAAGCATGTTTTGTTACAATTGTTGTTTCTATAGCTGGATGGGTTCAATCATTCGGTGAGAGTGTCTTCATCTCCTCATTCTCGATTTGTCTGATCGTCTTGTGCCAAGCAATCGAACGAGGCGAAATCACCAGCAGCCCAGTGTTCGAAACAGTTTCATGGGATTTCCTTGTTAAGACGATCACCCGTTCGGGCCGTCAACTTTTGCTTTTCTCGTGGCACTGACCTTTCAAAGATTGTCCAGCTTCTTCCTTGCATGATTGCCAATAAGCTGAGCCCGTTTGACTACTAATGCATATGGGGAAACATGGCAGGTTCGACGTTGTTTAATGAGTACAACAATGGCCAATTCTCATTACCGAGACCTAAGGTATTGAGTGACAGCTCAGGTTGCAGGGTGGTTGATTTCGTCTTGTTTGTGAGATACAGCTGCTTTGGGCATACACCGGGGCAAATCACAAGAATAACACGGCTCATTTGTGAGTCACCAAGATAAAAGATGAGGATAAATCGGAGAAACTTTATTGAACATCGCACTCGTCATGTCACTTCGTCCTGGTCAGTGTTATCTTCGTTGACTAGCTCAATATCCAAAGGGTCGAGAAATCATCACGTATTCTGAGGTATGGCGAAGCCAACAGATCATCATCTACGCATCATTATCCCGCTTCTATGCGTATTCCACATTGGCCTTTTCTTATTTGGCTCTTGTTGTCTATTGTGTCTATCCTCAGTGCTGAGAAGATTTAGCTAAATTTGATGTAGACTTGGGGGGCCTTTAGATCAGCCGGCTTCACTCCTTGGGATGAAGTACTGAGTCTACTTCTTGTGCTCCGGACATGTGTTCTTCCCCTCGAAACAACCGAGACACAAGCCATTAATTACGTGTGCCGCCTCTCTGATTTCCTCTTGAAGAGCATCATGGACATCAATACAGTTTTCGCACGAGCCTCCGTGTACGGTTCCATGTAGACTCAACCAGTTACCTAACTCTGGTAAGACGGCATCAATGCGTCTCAGGGGCATCTCAGGGTCCAAGAAGTAGATCCCATCACGACTTTCGTGCGTGAGTTTTACTAAGTAGTCAAAGTAGGCCGTCGTTTTGGTAGCACAGCGGTTCGAAGAAATGAGAGACGGGAGCTCATTGTACACCACCTTGGCCACCTTGCGTTGGACCTCAATTTGTGATGCCTGGAGCTTTGCTTTTTGGCGAGGGTCAGCTTGAACTCATGAGTTAGGGCTCGATCTATGTGGTCTCACCTGCAAGCCTGTACAAAGCACGCCCCGGCATGCTATTCTCAAACAGCTTTTCAGTTTCTGAGGCTCTGGCCAAGAATGATCCTCCGTCTAAGAGAAGTTTCCTAGTGGCAGTTGTGAAGGAGGCCGAGTCTTGATTCTGGAAGCATATCAAGGCCATGATCCAGAGATCTCTTGAGTGACAAGCCTTAGAAAGTATGTGTTGTGACCAGAACATGACAGAAAGATGCATGCTCTGCTTCATGTCGTACTTGTCGATGATGGACCAGACTTTCACAATCTCAGCGCATGTAGGGCTCCAAAGCCTTGTTGCAGATTGACAGTGAAGAGCTTGGCATATCCATCCGAAGCAAATGGAATTTTCTTCTTCAGGTAATGGGATCTCGAAAGGGTCGGTTTCAGTGTTGGCGGCGGCGGCCAGAGCTTGGCCCTCCATGAAGTTTGGGCCAAGCATTGTGGCAAATACACGTGAAGCCCATTTCATCACTGCAGATTGAACACGAACGCGTGTATCATTGTTGACGACAAAAATAACATCTCCATCTGGCGCAAAACTCTGGAAATCAGGGGGGGGAGGGTTGTCTTTCTCTTTGGCAACTTTCTGGCGCTTGGCGCGAGGAGCGGACATGATGAATAGTAGAGGAGGCTCCTTGTCCGATGGTAGGAGATTAGAAAGGTAAAGCTTTGGATAGAGGAGCGAAGAGAAGAGAGGAGAGGAGAGGAATGTGCTTGTTGCGGATATGCAGGCAGCCGCTGTGAAATGACGGTCCAGTGAGGCCTGCAAGATGAGCTGTTTGACGGTGGCGGCGCAGTGCAAGTACGTTACTAAGGTAGGAAGGATACTCTTGGTTGAAGAGTGAAAGAAAGCAAGCTCTAACAAGAGCTTCTCAGGTTTTATGTCTGTTGAAGAAGAATGATATCCTGTAACAAGCACGCCCATTGTGCTTGATTGTGGGGGAAATGGATGAACAGGAAGAGGTTTCAGAAACAATTCTATATCCAAGGCCATTGAGTCTCTTCTCTTGATCAGGGGAGGCAAGAAAAGGTTCCAAAATTAATTGGCCCAAATGCCATGTCGTGTTAAACTTGCCAATTCTATTTGTCGTTTTGAGATCAACATCCTGCTCCCTCTTCTCCCCTAGCTGAACCACCCTCCCCCCCCCGTAACGAAGGCCAAATATGAGCTCAGCATTCGGCCTCGATACAAAGGAGGGTTGTCGTTTCTTCCTAGAACTCGAGCTTCCTGGGGGCAGCCGGGATTCGTGGGATCAGTCGTGGGCGCATCATCGGCATGCAGCCACGTCCACATCAACAGCTGGAGCTGTGAAGAGAATCAGTATGCTCGAAAACATCGATTCTGATGAAGAAGTCATTGTGTTTTTGAAGATGGCATAGAGAAACTCCAAAGTTCACTGATATATACTAAATCGCGCCTCACCCATCTTTGCGATCATGCCAGAGGGGCAACTTCAGAGAAGGTCGGATGCTCCAAGACGCGGCCCTTAAGCACCCAGGCAGAGAGTCCGTTGCCCAAAGGCGATTAATTCCCCATCCTTCATGATCTTGTCATTGCCATCTCCGTTCTATTTGAGAAATGGTTTGGGCGACACAATGAACAAAACAACAGCACGAAGGGCCTCTGATACTCTTCATTTGAAGCCACATAGTGAGTCTGAAGTCTGTGTTTTAGTCTTAAGCCAAATCTCGATGATCTTGCCTGAAAATCCGTTCATGTCTTTGGCCGTTTCAGCAACTGTTCCAACTCCAGCCCCATTACAAGCTGCCTGGCTGCCTTACTTTCGTGGCTTCGGAGACGAAGCTCGAGGGAGAGTCTTTGCTCATTCTTTAGAGTTTTTGAGTCGGGGAAAAGGTTTAACTTAGTACTTGCCAGCTCAATCCTTCAAAGCTTTTACAAAAGGTTCAACTCAGTACTTAACCCTCACAAAATCCCAATAGACTCTACTCATCTTCCCTCCCTTCTTTTCTTTCTTCTAAACGCACACCATTAAGCAAAAATCCATCAATCAACTATACAGCCTCAAATTATCCATCCAGATATCATCACTGATTCTATCTACCGGATCAGTCAGTCTCGACGCCTCGCCAACCCTTTCGATCGGTAGAAGACAACGACGTTGGGTACAAAGCGCAGCCATGCCAGACACTATTTTACACGTCTCAAAGGAGGAATTTGAGGAGATCCTTGATGAGAAGCTACAGCCCATTAACGACCTCCTTGATGTCATCAAAAAGAAGTTAGATGACCTGACGAACCAGGATCTGGCACCCAAGACTCCTCCTAAGGAAACCGATGTTCGACCTCAGGACTGAAAGATTATGCGTATGTTCCAAAACTCTATACACTAATCCTGTTGCTTGTTTACTGATTCACATCTCTAGCCAGTCAAGCTTGAGACTCGCCTAGAATGGCTAAGGGAAACGCGGGTAGGAGGCATCAACGGATCCATGTGTCTCTTATAAGCCCTGCTTCTAGTCTATTAGCAATGTTAGCTATAGCAACCCCGTTCCTGCGTCACCAGAAATGTGTGGAGGGCATGCTTTTGAGTGACAAAGATAGGGCCCTTAGAGAAGCAAAAGCCACTTGACAACATTTTCCCTCTATACAAGCTCATCCCCAACGTACGGAGACCACGTTTTGTGCCTGCTACAATATATGTAACCAATTCTTTTAGGTCTTTTCGCTTTGCGAAAGGGAGGAAGCCCCGTGCTCCCGTATTGCATTAGAGTTGGTGGGAAAGAAAAGCACACAGGGAACAATAGAGAATATGGCCTTCGCAAGTTTAATGAGATTCAAACAAATATCAATAATCATATTTGCGGCAGTCTAGTAGATGGGACAAACTTTTGTTCATTATGTGACTCTCTCCCCATCTTGGCAACCTCCATATCCTTCACTGAGCCTCAGAGAGCAAAACATGAGGGTTTAGAAGAGGATACCAAAATAAACTCAGTAAAGACTCTCCTAAACTTGCACTAAATTGCCTAAGTCTTTACATCACTTAGGATAACGGTCTCAAGTTTTCTTGCCTCTCCCGGGTCATGTATGTCCATCGGACTGAAGTCAGTGGTAAACCCAGTGTTATCGACGTTGCACAGGGTAGCCTCCCCACTAAAATTTGTCTCAGTACACATCCAGCTCAACTCGCTTCCATCCTTATCACTCACAATTCATCATGAGAACTCGGAGATCCAATCGCACGAAGCGATATACGATAGAGAAGTACGACTTCGAAGGTAGTTCCGACGAAGAAGCTCTCGATCGCGCTTCCAAGCACGCAGAACGGGATGAAAACTTTGATGAGGCTGCCGCTGCAGAAGAAAGTGCCGAAGAGCTCGCCCTTGGCCAAGAGCACGACGAAAATGATGATGCAGAATCCGACGGTCCTGTGAGCGAACCAGATGGTGTCCTGGACAGATTTGCGCGTCAACGTGTCAAGCCTATCAGGCCCTTCAACGTTCGCGCAGCCGGCTTCACGGGATACCTCGATCTTGAGCCTGTGGCGGATGGGCGCATTGTGAGATCGTACTGGGGGCCCTACGACCGCGGGTTTAAAGCCAAGCAGCTCGTTGAGGCATGGTACGGACGTCATGAAGATGGCGTCAAGTTGGTCACGGGGATGCTGGATCGTTGGATGGACTGGACAGTGCTTCCTCCAAAAATTCAGAATGATGAGGGACAGAAAGATAGAGGTGTTTGGTCGCCTAGCTACTTCGAAAGGGAAGCTTACAGCGCCGAGCATTGGTACGAGCGCGTCAGGGAGAGTTTACCAGAAGCAAACGCGATGGTACCACTGTCAACCGATGAAGTTCCACGATACCAGTTTAAGAGAGAGCCAATGCCAGTATTATTAGGACCGCCCACATCTCAACAAGAGGTCAAATTCGAACCTGGTGACGCATACTCTATATCCCAGAATGGCCTCCCAATGCAAAATGACGATGCGCCCTTTGGGTGGATCTTAGATGCTGGCGGTATCGTCACCGGTATGGACTGGGCACCTCTGAACAACGCCAACTCGCCGCAACTTCTAGCCCTCTGCGTTATTCCACATTCCGATCAAGAACTATACGATTACGAACAGGAATCTTTGAATCCAGAGTTCCAAAAGTACGGCACTGTGCAGCTATGGGAATTCGTCGGAGAGAGGCAAGAAAATGGCTTTGCTCGACCTTCGATGCAACCTCCGATACTGCGCAAGACGATATGTCTCGAATTTGGGCGGGCTCGAAGAGTCAAATGGAGTCCTGCATGCGGCTTCTTGGCCATTCTTTGCGATGATGGCAACGTGTACGTAGTGGAGGCCGGTGACGGCGGAGGGGGAAGTTATGGTGAGTTCAATATCGTACTGACACCAGTCCAATAGCTAACAGTGTTCAGAAAAGGTTGCGCAGCCAATAGCTGTATTTGGCTTCCCAGATGAAGACGCTAAAGCGACCGCGCTTACATGGATCAACTTCAACAGGCTGGTCGTGGGTTATACTGACGGCTCTATTGCTATTTGGTCCCTCCGTCCTCATCGCCTCCTATCCCGACATCCAGTCCACCACAATATCGTGGTCGATCTCGTCTCTGGCTATCCAGCAATGCCCTACCTCGTTGCCTCAACCCCTGTAGGCGGGACTGTCAAACTGATTGACCTTCGTGCGCCAAGTTTCGAGTCAACCGAAGTCCAGAACCTTACAGTCGGAACACAACCGAATTTGCTTGGATACAGCGATCACCTGCTTGGCTTCTACTCCATGTACCCATCCGCCGGTGTTTTGAATACCCACATCGGCTTCATGCACCATTCGCAATTCCCTGTTGCGCGTCGTGTCTTTACAGGGGAAAGCTTTCCTTCATGTCTCGCAGTCGGACGAACACATCCATACCTCCTTGTCGGTTCTCTAGACGGCTCACTGTGGGCTATCAATCCACAGGTTGAACTCTTCACCACAAGACGTGAACCCACGGACCGTATCCGAGTTTTCCATCACGAACATCGCCCTGCAAAGCTTTTCCCCGCTGGTTCACCCGCGGCAGCGCGAGGAGTGTCAAGAATAGCGACAGGCTTCATATTGGAGCGCAGCCTAACTAAGCATTCAGCCCATAAACCGCCGGTCAAGAAAGGGAAGAAGCCAAAGAAGAAGGATACCGACACAGCTGTCGGAGACGATGAAGAAGAAGGGGGCGCAATTATGGATCCGACCCGAGCCATCATCTACGAGCCACTGACAAGGATCACGGTGGCCGAATGGAATCCTAACGAAGAGTATGGATGTTGGGCTGCTGTGGCGATGGGCTCAGGTCTGGTGAGGATCACAGATCTCGGCTTGACGATAACAGAAGAGGAGGAAAATTAGTCCATGAGACACTGAGAACCCATAATGGTGTGGTGGTAGTCGAAAGCCTTGGCCATACCGTAAAAGTGTGTAGCGGCTGCAAGGATGACGAAAATGTGGAAGATCTGATGCGAGCTTCCCCAGATATCGAAGGCGCCAGGTGCGCTTCTCTCGGGCCAACGAGCCTATCAAGTCAGATTTAGATGCTTTACGTGAAGAGTCGGGGAGGACATACGGCATAGAGTACAGCGCCAAAGATGTACATGACGCCATGGAGTAGAACCCAGCTGAGACTCATGCGATCTTCAAGACCTTGGTAACCATAGATGAAGAGGCCATGGATGACAGGAACAACGCCAGAAAGACCAAGGCCGATGAACATCATTGCACGATACGGACGCCATGCTGGGGTTCGGAAGCGCTCAACCCATGAAACAACTGTGCATCCAAGGCCGAGTATACATATCTACTTTGTCAGCGAGTTTCTGTGCCATCAGTCAACATCATAGACTTACAACCCATAGATAGGAGGCCATCAGATTAGGCAGACAGAAGAAGCCGTAATACAGAGCTGGGACATAGCTGCCAACGATCAAAGCCACGATGCCTGTGTAATCCAACTTGTTCCCCCACTTCGAAACAGTATCGCTGTGATTCGACAAAGTGTGGTACGTGGCACTCATTCCCAGACAAACAACAGCGCCTCCAAAGAAGCATGCAAAGACGAATACGTCAGCGCTACTTGCGCTTTCGTACCGTGGACGGACAACTCGATCGACGTATACTGCACTAGCGAGAAAGACTATGGCACCGAGAAGGTGAGACCAGATGTTGACGGATTCATTGTGGAGGTAGAACAGGGAGCGGAATGAATGGGCATAGGAGCCATGAGATTGGCGGTAGCCCGAGAGGATGAAAGCGTTGTCGCGACGCCAGGCTGGGAGATCATCCCAGAGAATGAGAAGAGACTGTTCAACCTTTGATTCGAAGTTCTTAGCGGCATTGATAAGGTTGTCTGTGGCTGAAGGCCGGCGATTGCGAACGCCGTAGGGCTGAGTTTCGGCCATGGTCAAATGAGGCTATCCAGACTTGGAACAAATGCAGCTAGAGTCAGGAACTTTGCGTAGAACCGCTAACCGACAATTAGTTTCTGTCCTTGCGTCCTAGTTCTCGACTTATATATGAACCAAGTTCCACTTCTCCGGTCGTTTATAGTTGTGTTGTTGGACCAGGGTAGTTTTGTTGGGACAAGCACATGAAAAGACACGCAACGTGCTCCGAGGCTAAAGACAAATCGATGATGTACGCTTAATGAAAGAAGGCCTCTAGAAGCGTCGTAGAAGTTCCACCTGATTTTAGTCGAAGACCCTGTTTTATTGCAAAAGAAGTTATGATGGACTTGAAAATGGAGATGATAGTCTTTGGCGAGAGAGATCTGCTGTTCACTGGAGAAATCCACAAGCGAGGTGCACTAATACAGTGGAGGTTTTACTATCATAACATCAAAGTAACTCTACGATCATGACTACTCTTAAATCGAATTGCACGGGAATAACGAGGCACTGCAGTCAGCATTTGGGTCAGCATAGAATTCATTTATCGTTAGCCATCGCGCGAAAATATCGTGATCAGTGAGCGCCAATGTCTAAAACACCTAAAACATGCAGGCTGTCTGTCCGATGCGCTCACGCCATCCAAAGCCTCCAGGGATATCTCGAGTCTTCGCTCAATCGTTGCTAGAACCAGGCGAAACGTCTATTTCTTTCCGCTCTTCTTGATACCCTGGCCACCGGTGTTGAGAGGGCCCTTGCCTCCAGCCTTGGCGGCAAGTTCCTTGCGAGCCTTCTCGTCTGTATCCCAGTTGTTAGTGTGATGTTTCTTTGTGTTTTTCGCTTTCAGAGGTTCGTACCGGCGCGCTTCTTCTCGAGGAAAGCCTTGTCATCTTCGTCGAGGTCCTTCTGGGCCTTCTTGGCCTGCTTCAAGGGCTT